GGAAAGAAAGAATATATTTAGACTTTGACATCTGAGCTGGTCAACCTGAGAAACAGAGCAGACCCACCACCTGGACAAGCCTGTTTCTCTTTCTAGACAAAACTACTTCTGTTCCTAGACTACAAGAAGCAGTTACAGACTTGCTCCATAACTGCCTAATGTCCCAGTTGAGGCATGAAGTGTGCACCCCCTTACATCTTCTAAAAGGGAACTTTTAAATCAATTTCTGTCATCTGCAAATATGACTGGTTAATTTTTTGTTTAATGGCTGACTGTTTAACAGGATTATTTCAGTTATATTGCCTTCCACTGTTAGAAATATCACAGCTCTACAGAGAGATGGCATGTAACATCATCCATGTGTTACAGATGGAGACACTGGAACCAAGGGAAGTCAGCAAGTTGGCCAGTGGCAGGCTAGTGGAAGTTCTGTTTCAGCCAGGGAAATAAGGCTTCTTGACAGATTTCCTCTTCAAATCTCATAGATTAAACATTAACCCCTTGGAAATCAGTCCTGCTTTACTAAAAAAAAAAAATTGTTTTTCTGAAGGAACACTATATTGCAGAACTATATTTCAAGTAATTGTCGTAACTTTGCCAGTTTCAAGGCTTTCCTATAACAAGTAGTCACATCCCGTTTTACAGCATACACAGTAACAGTATTTTATAACTGCTGATTATTTAAACTAAGTTAGAGGCTATGAAAACAAGCATAAGGGAGAATTTGGTTTTTTTAGGTGTGCCACAAAAGTCAATGTCTGTGACAAATATACAGTCATCAAGAGCAGAACCATATAGCTTTATCTGGTAGATGTTATCCTAGGTAACTCTTATATTAATGGAAATTCCTAAATAAGCCATTCTTGTTCTTAGCTACTCCTTACTATTAGAAACTATTTCCTAGTACTTAACAGGAAGGAAGACTTAGTAACTTAAATTCTTTACTTCTAGTTCAATGTTTATTAACCTCCAAACATGTAACCTACCTTCAATTTCTCCAAACTATATAAACTCAGTTCCTCTGCATTCTCCTCACAGATGAGGTTTCTTAGTCACAAATATGATCAGAGGTCTTCCCTCTAGCATCTACCTACTTCACATTTCCTCCTGTCCCTCTGATAATGCTGCATGAGAAAGGCTAGCCTTCGTGAATGCTGGTGGTTCCTACAAGTGTTTTTTTAATGATGCTTGTAAACTTAAGAGACAAGTAGAAGACAATATTGAAATACAAAGTTCTGTCATGGAAACCATTAACACAGAAGAACAGCAATGCGGCCCAACTCAAAATTAAGACCTAATGAAAGTAAGATGTTGCCAGACTGCTTCTGTGCCTTTGCCTTAAAGGCCATTAGATACCAGTTCGGTTTACACAGCCACAGAACTGTATTGCCTCTCAAAACAGAAATGAAATTTGGAAGTGATGAGTTTCAATTTTATGTCACTGGGATATACACATATGTAGATACGCACACACACATCTGTATCTATACATTTCCACTGCTGAATCCACAGCCCAGGGACTATTGCAGACCTCTTGTGTTCTTTCAGATGAGCTACAAATCTCATAATTAAGTAACTACTGAAAATATAAATCACTCATAATAATAAAAATTCTGAGGAAAAAAAAAGTCTCCATGATCAAGCCATTTTAATAATATTCTGCTGTGCCCTAATGTTATTCTTCAATGATAAATGTCATTATCAACTGAAGATCTTAAAAACTCAAGTGCATACTTAAAGTGCTCGGGAACAATTTTTCATTCATTTTGAATGGCAGTTGAAATTACTCTTGTATTTGCCACAAATTCTGTTGTATTTTTGGTCTTTGTCTACATTTTTAATATTAAAAAGTGTTACTCTCATACACTAATCACATTATAAAACATTTACCTTTGGATGTGATGATTTCCCAGGCTTCATCTCTGCCTGAAAGACAATTCCATTTATGAACTTTGAGTAAAATTGCTTTTGAATTACACACATAATTACTGTTTGTCTTCAGTTACTTGAAAGAAAATTAAGAAGTGCTAACAGCCAATACCCCTAGCAGTTACATCTGCTTTACTGATGAAACCATGCATACCATGTTGATGCCCCTCCTATCAAGCTTAGCTCATCTGAAACATCTGATAAACTTGAAAACAACATCTTGTAATGAAGTTCAAGAATCACATCAAAACATCCCAGACTATACATACAAGACACAATATAAATCACACATAGTGCATAACAACAAAGTTGTTTTAGATTTACATTGGCTCCATAAAGATACTTTCAGTATATGAGCAACCTTAAAGTCAGTGCTAACAGCCGTATTCAGGTGTTCAAGGGCTCCTTTCTCATTAAAGAGCTTAAAAAAAAAAGTTATTTGTAACACTCACTGCAGTCCTTCCAATTTCAGTTTCAAAACAAACAAACAAAATGAGGTATTTCTTAAAAACACAGAGAAATATTTGAATACACCTGTTTCTTTCTACTGCACTTTCTTCCCCTACACTCCACCTCCCCCAGACACAGACAAAATTTACACAAGCTTTATATTTACACATACTTATTCAGAAAACTTCTGTAAGTAGAAATATTAAGTCCTCAACTGTAAAAAAAATAGTTTCAGGAGAGGAACTAATCTGGAAGAAAGCCTACAAGTTTAGTAAGGACAGGAAAAATACTCTTAGTACTAAAATCTTAGAGACTAATTTAAAAAAAAAAAAAAAAAAACAAACCGGTTACAACAGCAAAGCAGCTACCCCTAAACAAGGAAAAAGCAGAGTAGGAACAACTAAGTGTCAGACATTTAAAGGCTCTTGCTTTTAACATCAGTGAGCCACTTCTACCTATTTCAAACAGCAAACTTCCACAGCTCTGCATCAAGTAGTACATATTAATAATTGAAAGGGTCTTCCCCTTAACTCTTATTATATTTCCCCTCCCAACTGACAAATCTTAATGAACCTTACAAGCGTGTCTTGAATTACAACAGTACTGTGTAAAAAAAAAAAAACAACCCCAAAACAGCAACAAACCAAGGACAGTTATCATATTAGCTTTCTAGTGAGCATGGGCTCCTAAAACATATTACTTTCCAAGCATGTTTAATTATTTCCATTTTTACCTGAAAGAAACATCCTGCTCAGCCTTTTCAATATATTCACTTCGCACATTAAGCATCATTAAAGTTATCATCATCTGCCCGATCTCCTACAAGCATCCCCATTTGCAGGAATTGTTCCACATGGCAGCGGAGACAAACGAAACACTAGAGCAGGATCTTGCTGCGAAGATGCACAGGCTCTCCCAGGGCTTCGCAGGAAGGCACCTGGACGAACTTTTAACGGCGCTGTCAATGCAGCAGTTCCTCGGGAGAGACGTCCCGAGGGGCAGGCGCAGGACCCGCACACGCCCAGGGACAGCACCCCGCCTGCCAGCCACCCCCGCCCGGGGAA